ATTCAACAGGTCTCTGAGCCTCAAAAAGCATAGCCCTAGATAACTTGCAAAGCACAGAGGAGATATCTAGTAGGATCATTAGATTCTCACATTCTTGGTTAGCCCTAAAAGCAGGGCTTGAACTGGGCTTTGCAGAGGACAGGGAAGATGCACCCTCTAAGCATCAAGGCAGTATCAGCTTTCACACTCATCACTGAGCAGGATGACCATGTTAGAGTCGCACTGAGGTATGACAGGCCTTGCCAATCCACCTCTGCCCATCTCTCATCTTCCTTACAGAGTCAAAACACCGTGGGCATCGGTAGACTCAGACAAGGAAAAAGCCACATCAGGTCTGCTTTTCAGCACCCAAAGAGCACCTGGACCCAGGTACGGCCAGTGTCATTCAGGCAGCCCTGTCGTAACACCACTCCAGATAAGCCCCTATCAAGGGCTGCCGTCTGAAGCTGTAGCAGAGACTGTAGAAGACAGAGTGGCCTTTGCTTACAGAGAATTATGGGGTCAATGCTCTGAGGCTTCCTGGTCAGGCTTTTGTTTTAATGACCCTTTGAAGTTTTGGGTTCACCCTAAATGCTTCTTTGTTAAATGTCTCCTCATTTCCAGGCTGCCCTAGAGTTTTCCCATTTGTCTGGTAATAGTAATGAATGCAGCAGATTCCTTCTGCTTTTCCTTGGTGAGCTGCCCATGTCATATAGCAGTGGCTCTCAACCTTTCCAGTCTACTCTACCCCTTTCAGGAGTCTGATTTGTCTTGCGTACCCCCAAGTTTCACCTCACTTAAAAAGTACTTGCTTACAAAATCAGACAAAAAATACAAAAGTGTCACAGCGCACTATTACTGAAACATTGCTTACTTTCTGATTTTACCATATAATTATAAAATAAATCAATTGGAATGTAAATATTGTACGTATGTTTCAGTGTATAGTATAAAGAGCAGTATAAATAAATCATTGGGTGTATGAAATTTTAGTTTGTACTGACTTCACTAGAGCTTTTTATGCAGCCTGTTGTAAAACTAGGCAAATATCTGCATGAGTCGATGTACCCCCTGGAAGACTTCTGAGTACCCCCAGGGGTACGTGTACCCCTTGTTGAGAACCACTGTCATATAGCAACCAAAGACAACACAAGGCAAAATAGTCTACAGCCTACACGGGCCTGCAGTAGAATTTTATTGGAAAAGAATCCACAAGAAAGGGACATAATGTCTTTCAAATAGGGGCACAATGTCTTTCAGATGTCCCAGCATAATAAGAGGAGCACTAGGCATGTGATACTGGCAGGGTCAATTATTCAATCTGAGTTTTCTTCATTTAAGTTTCCTGCCCCTCCCTCCAGCATTAGCTCACTAGCTTTCCTGAGTCACTTACTGCAACGTTTTTGATCTGTGGGCCTGCAAACCATCGCAGCTGTTCTAGTACAGCCTGGAACAATTCCGTTTTGTAGGCAGGAAGTTCAGCCACAGCTTTTTTCAGCACCACTTCTACAAAGCTCAGGGTGCAGGCAGCACCAAAGGTAATACCTACCAGGGAGAAGAACAGAATTTTTACCAACAGCCAAGGTGTACGTTTCCCAGGAAGACAGTTACACCGGGGCACTTGCAGAGGAAGGTGCATGGGGCACTGCATTTTTCCCATAAAAATATTTGTTTTCATTCATTCACTAATACCATTTTCCGGTTGAAAATTTTCAACCACTTCTCCTAACCGAACATGCACTGAACCACACAGTCCACCAACAACAGGCACACGCACAAACTGCACCCACCAATTAGGAACCACCCACAACTATACCAACCACCACTCTTATGACAGCACTTATTGGGAGACTAAACGCGTCTGGGAATTGCTCATGAGCTACAGAACCTTTCACTTGTAGGTTGTCGGTGTGACATACAGGTTGTTCCTATCTAACGGGAGCCCCTATCTGAGATGAGTCTGGTGGATTTAAATTCCAACTCTCACATAATAAACTGAACACTAAGCTTTATATGAGTTGCTAGGCTCAACAAAGAGGTGAAGAACTGCATTGGACCATGGATACTGAATTACTTCTAGGGTATGTCTACACTGCAGCGTAAACCCATGCCTGAGCCTGGACTCAAGCCTAATCCCCTTGTGGCTACACTGCAAACGTACTAACTCAGGGCTCGGACCCACGGTCTCAGGACCCTGCAGGGCTGGAGGATCCATGCTCAAGTTATATCAGGACCCAGGGT